CACCACCTCTTCCACGGGGCAGGGACAGGCTCACATGCTTTCTTTGAAACCTTGGAGGCATATGTGTTTTGGATTCAGTATTACCATGGTTTTCAATTTAAAATAGGTAAGATGAGTTCTGTTTCCGATCATGGCGGAATAGCTGATAGAAGACTACCCCTCTCGCTGTTAAACAATGACAACCTCTGGAGAAAACTGAAAAACGACTATTTGGAGACTCTGGAGAGCAAATAAGATCAGGCAGAAAGTGGAGGGGATATGGTCTGATTAGTTCTGCTGCTGTAACAAACACCCACCTATTCAGTGGCTAAAAACAATACAACACTTATTATCTCACAGGCCTGGAGGTCAAAAGTCTAAACCAGTGGGTCTATAATGAGTATAAGCAGTGTTTTGTTGAGTTGTGCACGGGGTCGCTGTCAGTCGGAGATGACTTGATGGCACATGACAACACTAACTAACCAGTTCCCACTGAGGTGACTCTGACTCTCGGTGGCCCCATGGGCTGCAGGGTAGAATGGTGTTCCCTGGAGTCTTCAGTAGCTTGGACTTTTGGTAGCGGACTGTCAGGCCTTTCTCCAAAGGCGTCTTTGGGTTTGAACTGCCAACCTTTCAATAAGAGCGTAACTATTAAAGTACATACCAACAACAACAAAATTGAAGTACAAATTTGGCAGTAATAACTCAAAGGGCTGGTGAAGGTAACACGGACTTACACTATCTAAAGATCCTTACACTGTGTGTGAAGTGCCGTTGTTGCTGGGTGCCATCAAGTCAGCTCCGACTCACAGAATGAAGCACGGCCAGTCCTGCACCGTCCTCCACTCAGTGCATGCTGAGCCCGTCGGTGCAGCCTCTGTGCTCATCCATCTCCCGGAGGATCTCCCCCTTTTTTCCTGACCCACGACTTTACTAACCAGGGACTGGTCCACCCTGGTACCGTGACTGAAGTACGAGCGACGTAGTCTGGCTATCCTTGCTTCTAAGGAGCACTCGGGCTATACTTTTTCCAAGCTGTGAGGAAGCATGTTATATGAAGTGTACAGTGTGCAGAGTACACACTGTGTATAACCGTGTATGTGAAGTGGTGTACCACTAATTGTGACAAATTAAGGAGGCATAGTGTAGTCTCTGGAGCAAAAGACAAAACTAAAAAGCCAACGCAGGAAATAAATGGACCACTCAACATTACAGGATGGTGTTCTGGTTCCCTAGTGCTGCTCTGACGAGAAATATACCACAAATGGCATGGCCTTAACAAACAGGAGTTTATTGTTAACATTTGGAGGCTTTAAGTCCAAGCTCAAAGTGCCAGGCTCTAGAGGCTGAGTGAAAGACCCTCAACCTTGGGGTCCAGCTCTGCCTCCTGCTCCCGGCCCACTGGAGCTAGAGGTGTTTCTTCACTCAGACAGCTGCTGGCTGCTGAGGCTGACAAGCCCAAGGTTGACAAGTAAAAAGGCACAGTCCTGATGTTACCAAACCACACAGCAGGCCATTAACTTAAGTCCATTGTAAGTCCCAAGGTCGGCAGAGCATAGCAGGCTGCTGAGCAACGACACGGCTACATGCAGGGTCCTAGGGTGCCACAGGCTAGAGACTATTCCCAAGGCTTCTCCTTAAATACAGGAAGCAGACCACATTCCCTAAGGTAGCTACTCAGCTGCTTGTGGTAGATCCCACCATGGAGCTGATTGCCAGTCTCATCCTGGGGAATAACCACCACCAGCTGCCTGGCCACTCAGCCAGGCCCAGCCTGACACACAAACTGAACTACCACAGATGGTAAACTCACACCTGAACCAACACCTCTGGCACTCCCTCAGCCTAATGGCTCTGTGTACCTCCACATGTATACTCAGCCTAATGGCTTCTGCATATCCCTGTGCACCCCAACCTGATGGTTTCTGTGTACCTCCACACACGCACTCAGCACACTGTCTTTGAATTGTCTGTTTACATGTCTGTCCCCTCTCCAGATGTTCAGCTTCTTGGGGACCGAGGCCACATCATCTCTGCAGCCCAACGATCTACGTAGAGGAGACACTACTGTGTTGAGTGGAAGAAAGGGTGGGGGGCTGCTGTGAGCCGACACAAACCCTTCCTCCCAACATCACAGCCAGGCTCATGCCACTGGTGAGGACTCAGGCGGGCTGCGAGGTTCCAGAATCCGGTGTCTACTGGTTTGACTGCACCCAGTTCCACTCCACTGTAGCCATGCCACTTATTAATTTGATCATTTCATTCATTCATTCATTCATTCACCTAGTCATTCATCCATCTGCCTGTCCATCCATTCAGCTAACACTTGCCCTTCTCCTGGCCAATCCTGGCTCTTGGCACACCTCTGGGATATGGCTCATGGAGGAGATGAGCACACGGCAGGATGCACCTGGTGAAGTGGGAGGCAGTTGGGGCCCTCTCAGGTGCTCAGCAAGCCCAGGTACGTTCAAGGTGAGCTGAGAGCTCAGTGCCATTGGCTGGCAGCTCCCTGTGTCACGGCATCGACAGAGAGACAAGCTCAAGGGCAGAGCCCAGATGGTGTCAGTGGGGAGACTCAGGCAGGCGGCATGGTGGGCCTGCCAAGGTCGGGCAGCTGGGAATGCTGGCGCTCTGCCCAGAGTGGGGACAGGGGTGCGTGTGGCCTGGATGGCCAAGGCTGATGGCAGCACTGGGGCGACACCCGCTGGGCTGGGGTTCACCTGAGTGACCCTGAAAAGGAGACACTTGCCCCTCCTACTCCAACTTGGGTAGTCCCTCGAATCACCCAGCCAGAGTGGTGCCAGTGGGACCCGAGCCAGCCTGTCTGGGCCAGGCCCCTGCTGCTCCCTCCCTGACCAGACTCAGAGCAGCCCTGAGGCACCGGTGCGCCATTTGGTCTCCGAGCAGGACACTGGTCTGCTGTCTCTGGCTCAGATGGCTTCAGACACCACAGGGGGTTCCAGGAGTGGAGGTCCCGCACTCCCTTCCTGTCTAGGCTGGGCTATTCATCATGTGCCCTAGGCGTGGCCAGCTGCCCAACTGCCTTCTGGCCCCTCTGGCACACAGATGGACCGCCCCTGGTTGTCCTGGAGCTATTTCTTGAAGCTGGGAGGATGGGGCTGATCCCAGAGGGAGGGGGCTGATGCCAGAGGGAGGAGGCTGATGCCAGAGGGAGGGGGCTGATGCCAGGGGAATGGGGCTGATGCCAGGGGTGTGGGGCCAATCCCAAGGGATGGGGCTGATTCCAGGGCACCCCTTTCTGAAATTGCTCCTACCCTGACTCCGTTTCCAGGCCTTGCAGTGGCGCAATGCCTAAGCCATTTGACTGCTAACCAGAAGGTGGGTTCAAACCCACTGGCCACTCCTGGGAAGGAGTAATATCACTACTTCTGTAGTGATACCGCCTTGGAAACCCAAGGAGGGGTCATTATGAGTTGGATCTGACTCAATGGTAGTGTTTTTTTTGGTCTCCTTGGTTTCACAAGACTGGGGGGCAATCACTCTCCATGCCCCAGTGCAAAGCCCACCCCTACCTCCAGAATCGGTTTCCCCCAACTCCCGGAACTTTTGGGGTCTTCTGGGACCTAACGTAAACCCGTGTTTACCTTTGTTGGAGTCACCAAGTGCTCAGGGTCCAGCCTGGGGCCAAGGGCTGGGAAGCAGGATGGCGGGGCAGGAGCGCTCAGGCAACGTTTCTTCCTCTCGTTATCAGTGTCGTCTGGTTCCCACAGTGAGCAGCAAATGACTTTTCCAGTGGGAGGGGGCCTTTAGTCAGGCTTTGCTTTCCAATAGTCAACAGTTTCCGCGCATTGTGAAACGCTTCGCTTTAACAGGGTTACCTCCTGTGCACAGAACGTTTATTTATTTACTCCTGAAGGGAACTCCTGCAAGTCCCTTTAAAAGTAACCCCCGGTTCTCCAGCCCAAGCACCTGCATCCGCTGAAAGACCGCACGGATGGATTTATGTTCTTCGTGGTTTGAAGCCATAACTAGGCACGATCTTTCCTGCCATTAGGAATCATCGAAAGCTTTGTGTATTTGTATATTGAAAGTTTAAAAAAGCTTGACTTTCCTTTTTTTATTCTTTTTACAAAGCCAGCTCTGAGGGCAAAGACTGGCTGGGGTAGCACTGGGGGCTACAGTGAGCCGAGGGGTCCTTGAGGAGGGCTCTGGGTGTTGGAGTGCCGAGCACCCCACGGGCAGCCTCCGTGGGTCCGGGGGGCTGGGAATGTCGGAGGGTCCAGCCCATGCACATCCCAGTTTTAACTTTCGATCACTGGGAGCAGGGCCTTGGAGTTGGGTCTGTACTTTGAGGAAGCACCGCCACCTGGTGGCCTCTGCGGACACTGCGGCTGTTGCCCTCAGGACAGGGGTGGGCGGCCCCACAATGGCATAAACCCGTCCTTCCAAGGGGACTCAGGGAAGAGGAAAGCAGGTGCCCCAACCTGGCCATCCTTCCAAGGGTCCACTAGGAGCCTGCAGTGAGGAATAGCCCAGTCTCTGGGCTCCCGGGATTCCCTCCGCCAGGCCCCTGCCCATGGTCTCGGGGGTGGGGGTGGGGGGGGCACTCCTTTTCATACCCTCAGTCCTGTGTGTGGTGGGAGCAGGCTGCAGGTGGGCCGGAGGGAGGATCCCGGCCAGGCACCAGGTTAGGGGTCTCTGCCCTAAATCTCCCTCCTTACCCTCCTGACCCCTCCCCAGTCTACTTCTCTGACACCTTGGCATGGAGGGGTGCGATGTGGTCTGTCATTGGCTGTCCCCCTCCCTTGGGTCCTGAGGGTTAGTGGGTTCCCAACATCTCTCTGGGAGTGCAGTGGGGCTCCAGTGGTCCTGGGATGAGGGGGTCACCTTGGGGTGAGGGTGGGCGGGGTGGGGAGGGCCTGGTGGTCTCTCATTTCCTGTCTCCCCTTGGGTCCTGAAGGTGAGTTGGGTCCCAGTGTCTCTCTGGGAGTGGGACAAGACTGTCTGAGGAAGGGGTTTCCGGGTGAGGGCTGGGCGGGTGGCGTGCAGTGGGCCACCGTCTACACGCGGCCCAGGGGTAGGGACGGCCCTGCAGCCGGCCACTCACCCTCCTGCAGAGCCTTCTGGAAGACCGCCCGCAGGGGCTCCCGCCTCCCGCGCTGCCGGCCCTGCACGTAGTAGACCAGGGGCTTGGCGCCGCTGTGGACGCAGGCCAGCAGGGTGGCGAGTGGCGGGAGCACGGGTAGCAGGAAGCTTAGGAGAGGCCGCAGGCTCCAGAGGAGGACAAAGGGCGAGCCACACAGGAGCAGCAGCAGCGTGGAGGCCAGGAGGAGGCCGTAGAAACGCGGGCGCGGCCGCGGCGAGCAGCAGCTGACCCACAAGAAGAGGCTCAGGCCCGACACGCAGGCCACGCCGACCAGGGCCAGCAGCCAGGTGACACTGGCCGCGTGGTACCGGAGGCAGGTCAGCGGGCGCGTGCTGTCGCGCAGCAGGCCGCAGGCGCGGGCCGGCAGCAGGACGGCCGGTGGGGTCAGTGCCCAGACCAGGACGCAGAGCACGGCCGAGGTGTGGCGGGGCCGGCAGCGCTGGTGGCAGCCGGGGAAGATGTCAGACACACAGCGCTCAGCGCACAGGATGGCCAGCAGCCAGAGCCCCACCGCGAACCAGAGGAAGGTGATTCCAAAGTAGAGGGAGTCGGAGCCCAGGGCCGCCTGCACAGCCGCAAAGGCCAGGTGGCAGCCCAGGAACAGGAAGTCAGCTGCCGCCAGGTTGAGCAGGTAGACGTTGAAGGGGCCCTTCCTGACGTGGAAGCCCAGGTGCCAGAGAACCAGCCCGTTGCCCACCAGGCCCCCCAGGCCAATGAGGAGCGTGAGGTAGAAGACGACACTGTTGAATGTCCTCCAAACACCAAACATTCTGGCTTGTCCAGGTGGCCGCCCAGGCCTGTCCTCTGGGAGCTGACCCTGCAGGGACCTAGGAAGGAGGTGGGGGCCGTTAATTTGTGTGGTCCTTCAAGGGAGTGTCCTTCAAGGGAGTGTCGGCTGCCTGGTGCAGCTGGAACCGACGCGGGGTCACCTGTGATGGCTGGAGTCCTGTCTCCCCAAAACCAAAACAAACTCACTGCCATGGAGTTGGATCGGACTCACAGCGACCCCTCCTTGGGTTTCCGAGGTGGTATCACTACGGAAGTAGGTTGCCCAACCTTCCTTCCGAGGAGTGGCTGGTGGGTTTGAACCGCTAGCCTTCTGATAGCAGTAAATGCCTTAGGCACCACGCCACCAGAGCTCCCAAGAGGACGTGCAAAAGACTAATCTGCATGCTGACGGCGACCCTGTTGGGGAGGTAGGTTTGCTCTGCAGGTCCGGCCAGTGACGTTAAGGATATCAGACTGGAGTGGGAGGGGGTCCCTGCTGGCCCAGGCGGCTAAGAGCTTGGCTGCTGGACAAAAGGTTGGCAGTTCAAACCTACCCACAGGCTCCTTGGGAGACGGCCCTGAGATCTGCTTTTGAAAGTTCACAAAACTCTGGAGCAGTTCTGCCCTGCACACACGGGTGTGTGTGAGCTACAAACACGAGTCTGTGTGAGCTACACACAGGGGTCTGTATGAGCTACACACACGGGTCTGTGTGAGCTACACACACGGGTCTGTATGAGCTACACACACGGGTCTGTATGAGCTACACACACGGGTCTGTACGAGCTACACACACGGGTCTGTATGAGCTGTAAACACGGGTCTGTATGAGTCAGGGTTGGTCGACCGACAGCAGCGACAGGCCTCGGGCGGGTCCTGATTCCCGTCTTTTGTGAGTGGCGCTTATGAAAGAGGACAGGGAAGCAGACAGGAGGAGAAGACAGCCCTTGAGGTTCCATCGACAGCCAAGGAGGCATCCCAGGCTACAGGCCCTGAAGCAGTCGAGGAAGGACCTTCCCCAGAGCCTCTGGAGAGCGCTCGGCCCTGCCCAGGCCCAGTCTGGAGCCCTGGTTTCTGGAACTGTGACTGGACAATTTCTGTTGTTTAAAGTTGCCCATCCGCATTGTGGTCTGTCTTCCCTGCAGCCCCGGGAGGAGGCGGTGGCTGTGCTGATCACTCAGCCCTCTGGGCTGGCTGGCTGCTTGGTGGGAGAGGGTTGAACCAGGCAGCCCAGAGGGTGATGCCTAAGTAGTAGCACCACCTGCGGAGGATTCGCACCCCCCCCCCCAGCCGTGGGCAGCGGCTTTGGGGCAGAGGCCGGCCCCGTGCTGCAGGCAAAGCGGTTCCACCGCCCATGGAGGCCCCCACCCTCTTCCTGCCCAAGGAGCTTGAACCAGTCTCCTGCTAGGTGCCCCCACCTGAGAGTCTGCCAGGGACGGGGCCAAGTGTGGGGCCCCAGGACCCTCTGCTCTGACCACCCCCACTTCAGCACCCCAGCTGAGAGGCCCAGCAGCCAGGTCTTGCCTGCCCCTCCTGGCCTGGGCCCTTAGTGAGGGGCTGCCTGGGACCTCTGGGAAGAGGCCAGAGGGAGGGTTTGTGCTGTGAGGGTACGAGGCACTGGGGGGTACTCAGGCTTGCAGGCATGTGTCCTTGGGGTGCTCTCTGAGCACAACCTGGTGAGAGACCTGGGAGCAGACCCCACCCTTCCCTGCCCCCAAAGACCCCCAACTGGTCCTTGTTCTCAGCTCCAGAGATGGAGCTGAGGGGGTGTGGCAGAGGGTGACGTGTGGACAGGCAGAGACAGACAGACAGACAGACAGAGACACACACAGAGATAAAGAGTGGAGGGAATCAGGGAGAGATACACACACAGAGAGATACAAGGAGAAAGAGACACAGAGCGAGATGGAGAAACTGAGACAGGGAGAGACGTGGACCCCCCGATGCCAGCGTTCACGTCTTACCACCAGTCCTTTCCTTGGGCTGTGCCCCCCAGGACCACCCTCACCACCTTCACGTCCTCTCAGGCTCTGCTGCCTCACAGGCCGGAAGCCTCTGCAGCATCCTCTGCCCCCTCAGCCCCCTCCTCGCCTCTCGAGTCTCACCTGGCCCCTGTCCATGTGCCTGTCCCTGGGAGCTGGGCACGTGGCGGGGCAAGGCAAGGCTGCCCGGAGGGAACAGGGTGGGAGTGGGCCTGGGGACTTGGAACCAGAGACCAGCCAGTGACAGGACAGGACCCCCCCAGTCTCCCCAAGGTCCACAGGGAGCTCCCCAGAGCCTCCCGGGCCCTTCCTGCTCATGTGGGGTTCTGAGGGGTGGCGAGGGGGTGAAGCTGGACCTGTGAGGGGTGGGGCATGGGAGCCCTGCTCTGGAAAGGGTCCCAGATCCCAGAGGGAAGGCCCTGTAATCTGGATGGGACACAAGCTTAGTGTCTTCTCCCCAAGCCCTGGGCCAACTCTCTCCCCCACCAAGTCCCTCTCAAAGGAACGCCAAGGCTCCCCACTGGGGAAGCCAGAGGGAAGCGAGGCAGAGGGATGGGGAGCAGAGAGGGGGTCCCGCCAGGCTGGGAGTGAGGAGGGGGCCGCAGAGGGGGGCTGCTCCCTGTCCTGGGGTAGAAGCCAGAGGGGCGGGGTGGTGGAGGGCAGACAGGGGGCTCTCACCTGCCGACCCCACGCCCAGGCCAGGAGTCTCCCTGCTGCAGCCCCGCACTGCCCTGCAGCTCACAGTCCGGTCGGGGCTCCTCCCGGCCCTAAATGTCGTGTCCTCTGGGCCCTGCTGGCAGGACCGAGCAGGCCAGTTCCCTGGAAGTGGGAGGGCGGGTTCCCTGCTCACAGGATGAGCTAAGACGGAGATGCGCTCTGGCCAGACGGCCTTCCCTCCTCCTCAGCCCAAGCTGGTCCACGTGATCCAAGGCACAATATCCGAGTGCCCCCCTCCCTGGTCCGGGACCCCCCGTGTCCAGCAAAGGACTGGAGCAGAACTTTGGGGCTGTTTCGAGCTGTGCACCTGCTCCCGGTACCCTGTGGCGCATCCATGAAGGACCTGGAGTCGGGCGCCTGGGATGGCTGTGTGACCCTGAGCGGCTGACCTGACTGTTCTGGGACTCGGTGTCCTCCTCTCACCCACTCACGGGCAGCTTAGTGTCTGGGTGGGCAGGGGCGGCCCAGGGCTGGCACTCAGGACAGGTACTGCTGCAGGTGGTCTACTGAGGTGACCACCCCCTCCCTGGTCCCCAGGTGTCCCCACTGCCTGCCTGCCTGCCTGCCTTGAAGCCTGGGGTCCCAGCCCCCGGTGGGTCTTTGGGGGGTGAGACATGTTCCCAAATTCTGCTCTTCAGAACTGTGGCCTCAGAACTCTGCGAGATCTTGTAAGGGATTTTCTTTTTCATGGACTGTGCCCCGTAAGTTCTAACCAGAGACCCCTACAGACCACCCCAGCTTGTTGTTGTCAGGTGCCGTGGAGGGGGCCCTGACTCATGGCGACCCCGTGAGCAACAGAACAAAACCCTGCCGGGTCCTGCGCCAGCCTCACAGTCCCTGCTGTACCCGAGCCCATCGCTGCAGCCGCTGTGTCTGTCCATCTCATTGAGGGCCTTCCCCTCTCTCATCGACCCTCCACTTTACCAAGCATGACATCCTTCTCCAGGGAATGGTCCCTTCTGACAACAGGACCAAAGTAGTTAGACGAGGTCTGGCCATTCTCTCCTCCAAGGAGCGTTCCGGCGGCACTTCCTCCAGAACAGATTTGTCCTTTCTTCGGGCACCTTAGCCACTCAGGAAAGACTTCTAGAGATGCTGCTGGTTTCTTGGAATATTTCTCAGTCTCTATTTCCTGTAGCACAAATTACTGGCCTGGGGAGCTTTGTTCCACGAAGACGGCCTGTGAAATCCCAGGTGGAGACCTTGCCCTCCCAGCCTCCTACCCCCACAGTGTTCCTGTGCTCTGCTTCAGGGCAAACGGTTTACACGGCTTCCGAGCCCCTATGATGCTGTTACCTTCCCCAGGAGTCCTGCCTCTCTCCCTGCTATGCCCAGCACCCCACAGCGCTGGACCTCACATCACCTGGGATGCTCTCTCCACGGCTAATGGCCTCCTATCCTCAAAGGTCATCTGCAGCCACCCCTGGGGGATTGCAGGCCATGCTTCCCCACCCCATCCCCCAGCCAGCGAGTTCTGTTCACTGTTGGCGGAAGGAAGGAAGGAAGGAAGGAAGGAAGGAAGGAAGGAAGGAAGGCAGGCAGGCTGCCCCCTGGAGAGGGGCGGGGCTCAGGGTGTGAGGATAATGGCAGCAGCAAACATCTGCTTGGTGCCTGGAAGGACATGTCCACGACCTAACCCCCGGGACCCTTGCATGTGACCGTCTTGGACAAAGGGACTTTGGAGCTGTGAGTCAGGACGCGGGGGCGAGGCTGTCACCCTGGGTTACCCAGGCGGGCCCTACATCCAATGAAGAGAGGCCTCATGAGGGAGAGGGGAGGGAGATTTGAGGCGGAGCCACAGGAAGGTGCAGTGAGGACAGAGAGTCAGGGGTGGGGCGAGGAGCCATGAGCCCGGAACACCTGGGCCACCAGAAGCTGGAAGAGGCCAGGAAGGGGCCCCCCTCGAGCCGCGGGAGGGCAGGGGACCCTGCCAGCCCCTGGACTTCCTACTCCAGTCTCCAGAGCTTCAAAAGGATGCAGGGAAGGACTGCAAGGTGCTGGAGGGCGAGTGGCCTGGGTCTGCTGCCTCCCTCCCTCCCAGGCTGAGGTCTCCAGTAGCAGGAATTCAAGCCCCCCACCCAGCCAGGGGCTGCTGCCTCCTCCTGCCACCAGGAGCCAGGGCAGCCCGGGGCTGGGATGGGGCCATTGGAGCCTGGCCACCTGGTGGAGCACCATGCTCTGCTGCCTGCGAGGGTGACCCCGGTCCGATCCAGAGTCTCTCCGAGCCTGGGCTCCTTGCAGGAGCCGGTTTGTGATCCCACGCTGATCATGGTGACGACTCAGCATACGTTTGCTTTTATCCACAGTGGGCTCCTGTAGCTGTGAAAACAGCTGTATGACACATTATTCACAAGGGCCGAAAGGCAGACACAACCCAGTGTCCATCAACAGATGTTAGAGTGTCACCCGTCCACACAGTGGACTCCGACTCAGCTGTCAACATGATCGAATCCCTGATGCTCGCTACAGCATGGATGGAGCACACCAGCCTAAACAAGGTACGTCAGACCCGGAAGGACAAACATGGCATGATCCGCAAACCCAACCAACCCTCTGCGTGGAGCTGGTTCTGACCCACAGCGCCCCTAGAGGACAGAGTAGAACTGCACCAGGGCTTCCAAGGCTGTCAATCTTCACAGAAGCAAAGCCCTAACCACACCCACTGCCGTGGAGTCCATTCTGACCCACAGCGCCCCTAGAGGACAGAGTGGAACTGCCCACAGGGTCTCCAAGGCTGTCAGTCTTCAGGGAAGCAAAGCCCAAACCACACCCACTGCCTGGAGTCCATTCTGACCTACAGCGCCCCTAGAGGACAGAGTGGAACTGCCCCACGGGGTCTCCAAGATTGTCAGTCTCCACGGAAGCAGACTGCCTCATCTTCCTCCTGAGGAGGGGCTGGTGGGTTTGAACCAGGGCCCTTTCAGTTAGCACTTGATGCCTTAAACATAGTGCCACTAGAGCTCCCTTATATGATCCCACTTGGATGGATACCCAGAGCTAATATGTAGATGGGAGTCCATTAGTGGTTGCCAGGGGCTGGGGTGGCAGGGAGCAGGGGGGACAGAGGCAGTCAGTTATCGCCTCAGGGGGATGGGGTGTCTGGGAGGTGGTTAATTTTGCATAGTGGTGGTGGGACATGACGTGGTGAGTGCACTTCACACCACTGACGTGTGCTTAAACATGATTTTGTTGTATATATTTCACACAATTTTTTTAAAAAGGAGAATTTTAAAGAATTAGACTTCTTCTCTAAAAGTACCCCTGTAATGAAGTAAGCCAGCTGGACACCCACACCCACGGCGACCACACATAAGGCGAGTGGGAGGCGAGGCCGGCCAAGGGGAACCCTGCCGTCAGCCACAGGGCTGCAAGGAGGAACCTCCCTGTGCTGGGCACCCGGGCTGGGCCAGGTGGGCTTCAGGCAGAGGGACGGGGCACAGGGTGGGACTCGGGCAGCTCTGGAGTTCCTGTAAAACCAAGTCAGAAAAAAACCACACCTTGTTTACTTCCACAGAAATCACATTGTTGGATCTGTCCCACTCCTGACGCAGTCACATAGCTGATTCTCGAGGTCATGCCGGAGGACACGCCCCAGGAAGACGGCGCTTGGCACATGTGAGCCACACAAGCTGGGGGGGACATGAGCAGCAGTCGCCACCTCTTGTGCCTCCTGGTCGATGGCCAAGTGCCTGGTGTGTGTCCCAAACGTCCCTCCCTGCAGCCCTGAGTGAGGGGCGGGTCCCACCTTATTTCCCAGAATGCTGGCAGCCCCAGAGGTGATATATCCATTCCTGAGAACCCCAGCCTGGCCAGGACAGCCTGAGGGCGCACCCTGGGGTCCAGAGGTGGGGCTGGGACGGTGGACCAGAGCGCTGCCCTTCCCAGCCTGCCTTGTGTGATGGGGTTGAGGTCAGCTTTGCCCCACGTCCCAGGAAGGGCCTGCTCAGGGCCTACAGGGGGTGGTGAGGGGCCAGGCTGGTTGAGGCCACGGAGGGGCAGGGTGTGGTCCTGGGGGAGAAAAGGGGGATATCCAGGTGAGGTCAGAGAAGCTCCCGGATTGGGAGGCCAGAAGGACACCCCTTTCGGCCAAACGTCTGTGCACGGTGGGACAGTGAGCCTGGGAGGTGGGTGGATGCCTCAGCTTCCCAGACAGTCTCATGGGGAGCCCCGTAGCTTGTCTCCAGGGCAGGTAACAGCCAGGTGTCTTCAGGGAGTCTGAACACTCAGGTACTCACCTGGCTGAGGCTCTGGACGGACCCCCTGCCACGGTCCCGGGCTCCTGGGGAGTTATAAGCCAGTGTTAACCTGGGCCCAGCACCCCAAGGTCAGTGCCCTAGGCCAGGCAGGACTTGAGCTTGGCCAGAGTGTTGGGGCTTTGAACTGGAGTAGGGCGTTGGCCAGTGTGGCGGGGAGCGTGGGCAGGCCCACCCTCCCAGCTGTACGTGAACTTGACCCATGCCTCAAGGTCAGCCTGATACTGGGGTATTTCCTGGGGAGAGCAGGGTCTCTGTGGACTTTCAGGCCCCCGGGAAGCAGAGCCTTGGTGGTTGACCCCCATCAACAACCCCCAGGATGGAAACACGGGTTGGTGGGGAGAGGGCTGCAAAGCCCCGGAGACTAAGACCAGAGAGGGCACAGGCTCTGAGGGGCAGGAGCTTGGTGGCCTCCTGCACCCCAGCCCAGGGCTCAGAGCAGAGGTTTCTCCTTCCCCAGCGGCCCCGGGGGCTGGTTCTGTGCCGGGTGTGGAGAGGACGTTCTCCAGCTGGGGAAGTCTCCCTGGAGCCCCTCAGCTCAGAGCCACACAGGGTATGCGCCCGGGCAGGCTCCCAACACTGTCTGCCGGCCCACCCCCGCCCCCACCCTCTCCCAGATCGGGAGGCCGGAAGGACACCCCTCTCGGCCAAACGTCTGTGCACGGTGGGACAGTGAGCCTGGGAGGTGGGTGGAAGCCCTGGCCTCTCAGAGAGTCTCATGGGGCGTCCTGTAGCTTGTTAGATGTGGGCCAGGCCGCCAGTGTCCTCCCTCTCAGGGACCTGGGCTGGGTTGACAAGGACTCTGTGGACACTCATAGGGGCTCAGTGGGTGACAGTGGCTGCATGAGGACTCGAGGCCCTGACCCCACAGTGCTCCCCCAGATCTCAGACCCCAGGGCACAGTAGATAGGCAGGCAGATGTAGGTGGAAGGATGCCACATAGCTGCCCAGCCGTCTGGTCACCCCTGCTGCCACCCCGTAACCAGGGGCTGGTAGTTTGGGCCCGTGTTCATGGGAACCCCAAAAGCTGCAGGCATTTGGGGAGCTCCTCAGAGAAAGTGTCTGGTGTCTCAGAGCTGCCCCAGGCCCTGGGCACTGAGTGTGGCTTCCTGACGGGGACACACAGTGTGGCTCCCTGAGAAGGACACTGAGTGTGGCTCTCTGAGGGGGACACTGTGTGTGGGGTCCCTGAGAGGGAGAGAGCCTATGCCTGCCCCAGACTCAGCAAAGGGAGGGGGTGGGGTGTCAGGCAGCGTGGGCGGTGGCACCGAGCCAGCCCGGAGGGTGTGGCCGAGGGAGGGGGCCGCGCAGCTCTGTTGGGCTCTGCACTGACTTGGTCTGGAGCAGTGACCCCTCTGAGCCTCAGTGCTGTCATCTGTGCACAGCCGTGTTCCATGTGGCAGAACTGTCCGGGACAACGCATGCGGCAAGGAGTTAACCCGGGACCTTCGTCCTCCTCCTCCTTCCGTAGCAAGGTCCTTTCCAAAGATCCAAAGCCCAGGAGTGGGCTCTCTGCCTGGGCCCACCCCTTCGACCTCAGGATGGATGACAAGGGGCGTGTCTTGGATGGTGCTGGGGGCCTTGGGAGGCACTGCCCTGAGCCTCCTCCCTCGCCGCTCGCCCTGAGCGTGTCCCCTGCAGCCCCTGGCTGAGTGCACACCGCTGGGTTGGGCCGATTTGGACTCCCGGCGACCTCTGTGACTGAGCAGCACTGAGCCGAAGGGTTTCCCTGGCGTCCACTTTGCGGGGCACGTCGTCAGCTCTCTCTCCCGCGGAGCTGCCAGGGAGGTTCCAACAGTCAGTCTTTCAGCTGGCGGCCGAGGGCTTAACCGTTGGCTCCACCCAGCTCTGGTTTTTGCCTCGTGCCATCGTACAATTCCCCGGCGTTGGCACCGTGCTGAAGGAGGCAAAGCGACGCTGAGGGAAGAGCTGGGGAGGCTGCAGGTCGAGCTGCTGTTTGTTTCGACCATTTCTGCACATGTTGGTGGAAGATGAAAACCCACCACAGGAGCTCC